AATCGCCGTTTTGATTGGTTGTTATTTTCGTGAATCCAAATCAATGTCTACTTTTTATCGACTTCAGTAGCAGGTCAGTTGTATTTCAAGCATACAGCCTGACACGCTGGTTACAATAGACTGTGCTGATTATTGCACTATAGTCTCAATTCGTTTTCATATGGTCAGTTCCTTATATTTCGTGCACAATAGGGTTAAGGATACGCTTGTGATCGGCCTCAAGATCAAAGAGAAACATATTCGTGGCAACTTCGTGCATGAATCGTGGATATATAACCTTCATGTGCGCCTGTCATGCTAAACCAGACACACGCGAAAACGAGGCCATTGGGACAATAGTGCAATAAGCAGTAAAGTTTATTACTATCTGCAATTTGGACAATAACCCATTGTTCAAAAGCTGAACTAATAACATAACTTTCTCCTTTTACTGTTACCTTGACGTTTAAATGTCTTCTCACAATGTTGGCCTTGATAAGGTCTTTCCCCATTGTATGTTCTTTTGTGTCTCTTCAAATTACTTTGCACTGTAAATGTCTTCTCACAATGTTGACATTGATAAGGTCTTTCCCTATTGTGTGTTCTTTCGTGTTTCTTCATATCAAGTCACCTTGCCGTGTAAATGTCTTACCACAATGTTGACATTGATAAGGTCTTACGCAGTGTGTGTTCTTTTGTGTGTCTTCAAGTTATCTTGCCGCGTAAATGTCTTACCACAATGTCGACATTGATAAGGTCTTTCCCCACTGTGTGTTCTTTTGTGTCTCTTCAAGTGACCTTGCTCTGTAAATGTCTTACCACAATGTTGACATTGATAAGGTCTTTCCCCACTGTGTGTTCTTTTGTGTCTCTTCAAGTGACCTTGCTCTGTAAATGTCTTACCACAATGTTGACATTGATAAGGTCTTTCCCCACTGTGTGTTCTTTTGTGTGTCTTCAAGCTACCTTGCTGTGTAAATGTCTTACCACAATGTTGACATTGATAAGGTCTTTCCCCACTGTGTGTTCTTTTGTGTGTCTTCAAGCTACCTTGCTCTGTAAATGTCTTACCACAATGTTGACATTGATAAGGTCTTTCCCCACTGTGTGTTCTTTTGTGTCTCTTCAAGTCACCTTGCTGTGTAAATGTCTTACCACAATGTTGACATTGATAAGGTCTTTCCCCACTGTGTATTCTTTTGTGTCTCTTCAAGTCACCTTGCTGTGTAAATGTCTTACCACAATGTTGACATTGATAAGGTCTTTCCCCACTGTGTGTTCTTTTGTGTGCCTTCAAGTGATGTTGCAAAGTAAATGTCTTACCACAGTGTTGACATTGATATGGACGTTCTCCTGTATGTATTCGTTCGTGTCTTCTCAAATCCACATGTTTCGTAAATATCTTACCACAATGTTGACATTCTTTCACTTTAACGCTGATGTTCGTGCGACGTTTTGAACTTTCAGCATTCCCGCAATCCTTTTGGTGCACACCAAGGTAATCGTTATTGCTGTATTTTCTCCCGCAACGAGAACACTCCCAGGATTCGTAAGATACCAACATTGGACATCTTTTCAAGTGAGATTCCAGATAATTCACATATGTATACATTCGTCCACAATGTTTACAGGTATGACCGCCTTCTACAGAGAAAAGACAAATGCAGTAGTAAACTTTTGATAAAGATTAGCATGATGGTTTGTGTTTTGTGGAAAACACAAACCTATACAGGGTGTGTAAAAAAAGGTGATCCAACTTGGCATGTTATCGAGCATTATCACGTTTATCCATTTACTTTTTTCATATAAATAAAGACCAGGCTTTTAGCTGTCGAATGATACCTTTCTTGTATCACTGCGATCCAAAATAGCCATGTACGATCCGATTAAAAATACCGGTCGAAATCACCCTTCGAAGAATAAGTTCATAAGAATAAGATAAAGTTAAACACGTTTTCCGTGCACTTTAACAGTTTAAGCTGGTTTTCCACTTCAACCGTATCGTAGCGAAGCGTAGCGTATTCAGTTTGTATGCTGACCACTATACTGGAACTAATGACTTCGACACAAAAGAAAATGCTACGATACGGTGGAGATGAAAATCGGTCTTTACTTGTTTGTTTACTTTCGGGTAGATCCATCGGTATACGTATGTTCAAGAATTAAAATAATTGTATTGAAAATAAAAGTGTAAGTTTATATTTGCTGTTTCTGTGTTTAATTAAATCTAGTAGTTATCCAGACCATTTTGTGCTTTCTAATCTTAAAATAATTATTTAATTTTATTAGTAAGTATAACCAGATACCGACTCAGTTTGTTTATATATACTGAACGCTCGGAACCCTAAACTCAAGAAATTTAAATTCATCGGAAATACAACTGAAGTTAAAATAATTCAATTTATACATACATAAATATACATATACATGCATTAATTTATTTTAACACGGGAAAAACCATCAGTACATCAAAACGATTGCTATTTATAAGTTTGTAATTATAAAACCAAGTGCAATGAAAGTTCAAAAGCTGAAAATTGGCGCTAAATTGAGACAAAGCTAAAATCCCATCCGCCAGGATGACATACAGTTTTCAATTTGATTTTTTA